GGTTTCCTGAACATTGAAGTAGGTTGGAGTTGAAGATCCTTGTGTCCACCTCCAAATCTACAATTCTAGGGAACAGAATCGTAGTTCAAGCCATGGGTTTCATTCTGAATTTTTCCCTTGAAATTCTTATCAGTTGGATTCATTGATTTGCTGATTTTTTTTTCTCCTATTGGCTTCTAGATACTGTCACTCAATTATTGTATCAACACGCAGGAGGTTCTGTGGCTATTAAACAGCAAGATACAAACAGTATAATCCTCATACTAGATGTGCATATTTAAAAAGAACTGGGAGAGACCTAAGCAGTGCTTTTCTTCATTACAACATGAAGAGCTCATCAAGTTTATAAAATAATAAGTACCCTGATTTGTTAAATACAAGAATATGTCCAAGATAGTATGCAGCTTTAAAGTATAACAACCAACTAAATAGAATAAAACAGGAAACAAGTGTCTTCAAACAGCAAGTCAAGAGAGAAAGAAATGAATGACTAATAGAACAAACTAATGTTCACAGTCAATTACATCCTTCCATGATAACAAATATTCAAATACAAGTGGGCAATATTCAAGGCACAACAAAAGAGCACGTATACAACAGACTCATCTCTATTACACTGTAGAGAGAAAGAAAAGCTCCATAAGTAGAATAAACAGAGGAAATTTGGTGAGGGGGGAGTCAGAGGTTCCTTCTATTATCTGGGCTACAGATGTTAGATAGGCAAAACAAAAATGAAAATAAATGTAGTGGTAGCTTAATTAAAACAAAAGTTTCTCAATGATTCCCCATGCATTTTATTATTCCCTCCTTCTATTATATTAAAAATTAAAATTCAATGGCAACATTTGGGGAATGTATCCTGGAACCATGTTTGTGCCTGAGAAAAGAATGTAAAAAAGCTATTGGACAGAGAAAATTATTTTATACAATAAATAATAATATTGTAATGGCGTAACATTTTCTCTGGTTATAGTGTTTCTATAGGAACCAACTCTAGAATAGAATAGAATAGAATAGAATAGAATAGAATAGAACTGGAAGAGACCTTGGAGGTCTTCTAGTCCAGCCCCATGCTCAAGCAGGAGAACTTATACCGTCTCAGACAGGTGAATGTCTAGTCTCTTCTTAAAAATCTCCACTGATGGAGCGCCCATGATTTCTGGGGGTAAGCTGTTCCACTGGTTGATTGTTTTCACTGTCAGGAAGTTTCTCCTTAATTCCAGGTTGCTTCTCTCTTTGGTCAGTTTCCAACCATTTTTTTCTCATCCTTCCTTCTGGTGCTTTAGTGAACCACCTGGCCCTCTCTGCCTTGTGGCAGCCCCTCAGATATTGGAACACTGCTATCATGTCTCCCTTATTTCTTCTTTTCTTTAGACTAGCCAAACCCAAGTCCTGTAGCCATTCTTCATTATGTTTTAGTCTCCAGGGCTTTGATCATCTTAGTTGTTCTCTCTCTCTATCTTCATACCTAGCTACATAACTCTAGTATCTGTGTAGTGTTGAGAGTTTGTTTGGTGCAGTAGATGCAGTATTGGACTAGGACTGGGAGACCCTGGTTCAAATCCAATCTAAGCCTTGGAAATTCATTGGGCAACCATCACCATTTCTCGAACCAAATGAGCCCATATTACAGTTGTTGTAGGTGCTGAACGAGAGCTACATTGATTGCCTGACTTCTTGGAGGAAAGGCACAATTCTCTTCTATGGAAAAACATGATGGAAATTAACAAATAACATAAGTACATTTCCCAATTATGAGTGAAATGGAGGTGGAATGCTTCCAGATGTTACTATTGGCATGTGCCGTGCTGCTTTAGAATTGGGAATTCTCTAGGAATTGTTAGTTCAGAAGTTTTGTTAGTCGAAAAGGCTACACTTTTCCCTTTATTATTTTTACAAATAACTCAAGGTAGTGAGCATACCTGGAGAGAGTAACTGACCCAAAGTCACACATTCAGCTTTCATGCCTAAGGCAGGACTAGAACTCATAGTCTCCTGGTGATTGCCCCAAAGTCACCCATCCAGTTTTCATGCTTAAGGAAGGACTAGAACTCACAGTCTCTGTTTTTTAGACTCTCAGAAGCTAGTGGAGGTTTTAAATGGCATTCATAGGCCAAGATATTTGCCCACCTCTTTATTTTGTTGCGTCTCCTGTGTGGGTGGAATGTGTGTTTTTATATAAATACCATTATGAACTATCTCCATAATTAAAGTCAACACAGTTATGTTTCAATAAGTAACATAATAAACTTCCAAACTGCTTTTAATGTTGTGTGATGTCCTGCTTATCTATTTGAAACATTTTTCCTGTGTATCCCACAGGAAAAACAGATGTAATTAGAACAATACATTCTTACTACGTTTCCAAAAATAACTGAAGCTGCAGCCGGATATGTGCAAGAGAGAAGACGGAACATAAAATTAAGGGGTGCTTCTTGCCAATCAAATCCAGATCACATTTTTAATCGAATGACATTGATTAAACATTTTTTTCCCCTTACAACAAACAAAATACTGATTTTAAAAGATTTGAAGCAAGACATGCCCCACACAAACTCATTTAGGTCGATGAAGTAGGTAACAGCGAAATTTGTTTTAGTATAATTTTTTCCAAAAGAGAATTATTGCATAAAATATAGCAATGTATACCTCACCCTAGGTGACGTTGCAAAAAGGAAATGTAGAATTTTATCAGGCCCCTGCCAGGAGGCGGGAAGAAAAGGAAAAATCCGCCTAACTCTTTACCAAGCCAAACTGAGGCAAATCAAATTTTGCATTCTAAGAAATGTCTATTGAGATTCTCAATCATCCAGGTCATGGTTACCCCAAAAGTGCTTTTTCCAAAAAGCAACTGGACTTTTAACAAGAAAGCCCAGTTGCCTTTTGGAAAAAAGCACCTTTGGGACATTCTGAAAAATGGAAACATTATAGACAGTCGCCACTTAATGACCAGGCATTCAAAGTTATGATTTATTTATTATTTAAATTTCTACCCCGCCCTTCTCCCTGCGGACTCAGGGCAGCTTACAGCCTTTTTAAAAACAAGTACATAACTACAAAAATACTAACGTTAAAAAGTTAATTAAAATAAAATATTATTATAAGGCCTTTATAATTTAATAAAAAAAATTTTTAAAAAAATTATGATGCCCACAAAAGAGGCATTTTATATCCTTTAGAGCACCCTGGCTCTCGTGAACAGTCATGCTTCCCCCCCCCCTGCAATCATATGATCCCATGTCAGGTGGGTCAGCTTAATTCTGGGCTCAATTATGGTGGTAAGTTGAGGACTGATTGTATTGACACTACCTCCCAGCTGATATCCCTCTACCTCCATCCATGTCAGGCATGTTTACATGTTTACAAATTGAAAAGGCCTTTACTTTCATACTACACCGAATATCTACTCTATAATCTATTCCACCTTCCTCCCACCAACATTGGTACCCCATAAGAATTGCAAACACCTCTTCTAAGAGCTAAGAAAATGACATCTTCCCTGGAATATTATTCTAAGACCCTTAGGACTGGAACATAAATAAAAGTATAGAAATAACCAGGCAGCAAAAGATCCACTTATTCCTTAAAACCTTCCATATACATTTCTATATTTGAAGAGTCTTTTTTTAGTACATGTACTTTTTCCAAATCAGTTTTTTCAAAACTATAAAAGATAAAGTTCAGTAAAACGGCACTAACAGTAACATCCCCAAAAGTTTAAACTTAAAAAGCCTACACATAAAAAAAAGTCAGAATAAAATATCACATGGTTATATGATTAGCAGAGAGGTAGAGAGATTACTGTCCGATATTTTGGAAGATAAAAAGTATATTTGCCAAAGATACACGTAATATTTCCTGTGCAAATTAATGAAAGGTTGCCATTCATCCCTAGATAAAAACAAGCTGTGTACCTGAACAATAGTAATCATGAGACAACAATCAAAGGGATCATTGAAGAAATCAACCGAGATTTCTCATTTGAGGCACAAATGACCAGGCTCAAATTATCTTACTTGGAAGACCTAGTTCTCTGGAAAAGGATCTAATGCTGGGAAAGGTGGAAGGAAAGAGAAGAGGAGGATAACCAGCAGAAAAGATGGATAGATTCATTTACAGTGCTGACGGATACACTGCTGGAAAGCCTGAAGGACCAATCTGTCCCTAATCGTCATGGAGAAAAAAATCTATCTGTGTGGTTGCTAAGAGCTGACACCTATCTAATGCATATAATCAGTTGTGTGGACCAGCCTCCACAAGACACTAAAAAGACAAGATTCGTGGCACTCTGGAGTGGAATGGGACAACTTGCTGTGGCCAATTCTCCACTGCCAACTCGCCACAGCCAGCTCGATGCAGGACAACTTGCCACAGCCAACTCACCACGGGACAACGCACCATGGCCAATTTGCCACAAGACAATTCGCCACGGGATAATTTACCATCATTAAAAAAGGGAAGAAAAATAAGGAATAGAAAGCAATCATGAGGTATTTCATTTGGATGATAAGCAAGGAAAGTTTTAAAACCACAAATTATGATGACATCAAGCTTAAATGACTCCATACAAGGAACTTTGGAGAGATTTATTCAGATCAAGAACAATGTACCAGGAATAACACCAGGTATGCCTTAAAGGATTAACTGAGATGTACCATCGGCATGATGTTAACGACTAGTTTAATAACTGCCTGCACAGTAATCCTTGACTTTATAACTACTCATAAGTAAATCCCATTAATAGGACTTGCTCTCAGCAAAATTATAAGCCTTAGTTGCTCTCCTATAATCCTATTCAGAGACTGTATATATTCAGAACTTAAATTCCACAGAGTTTCATGAGACTTCTTTCCAAGAATATTCATTATGTCTGGTATGAGTTTGCAGTCTATGAATTCATTATTTTTGCTTTCTTCCTTCCTTCCTTAACAAATAGGTGTAAAAGTAACAGCAGAGATACTTAACTTGTGTATCTATTTTTTTCCCATTTGTTTACTTACCATTAATAGGTTTTCTGATTTCAGTATAAACTGTCTCATTATTCATTACAGGAGCTGGAAAATAAAATCAGTACAGAATCAGTTACTGTCTCTAAATGGGTTAAAATAAGCTATAAATAAAGGTGGCTGGGAAGCTGACCAAAGTAGCTGCTTCCAATATAGCTGGGACAGGTCATAATTTCTCTATCTTGTTTGGTCCCTAACCAGTGGGTGAGGAACTGACCCATGGTTCAATCTGCAGAGGTTATTTCTGCATCACTGACTTCCTTGGCTTCTAGCATCTTCATAGCATCACTCAGCCCTTGTTGAAGTAATATACAGCCTATTCTCATTGCTGTTGTTTTTTGCAGAAGAGTGATTGTATGCTCCAGAAAATGCTATAAACCACTTGTGTGGAAATGATATGTCGGTTATCTCTTGCAAATGTGAACAGAATTTATTTCCATACCTTCCTATTTTTTTCCCTCTCCTCTGGAAAGATTGTTATGAATGTGTCTAGTAAGCAACGTCCTTAATTCAGGGAATTAATTCTCTGGCAAATTATTCTTCTGATCAGAATACAACGTAGGTGACCCAGATGGCGCCTTCTGTATCTTCTTCCCCTTTACAAATCTTTCATAAAATGATAGGCTAATGATTTTATCCAGGAAAGCATATCCATCACTCATTTATCATTTATTTTTTTATGAGAGGATCCTCGTATGGCTTTCAATAATGCCATATACAAAGATACATTTTTAATAACAACCAAGATGCCGTTATTAAGTGTCTGCACCAAACTGATTGCATCTAGAAGAGAAAAAAAAAATTGGAACCTTACGCAAACTTGGAAGTGAGACATTCAGTCTTGTTTTGTAGAAGAAAGGAAATGTGTTGGCATGACGGCTTGAAAGTTTTCTTAACCTTTTAAGGATTTCTATTTAAAATATCAAATGAGATCATCCCTGCTTATGAGGCCCTAAAAGCTCTGTTAGGATGTGGCCTGCTTTCTAAGTTCCTACATACAAGCACTCACAAAACTAACACTGACTAATCACAATCTTGTCTAGGTTACTCATATCTAAGACTCTGGATTCAAGGCATTGTCAGATGCGTCTTCAAATCTGCTGGGAGAAACGCCAAGACATTTGGTTGACTAATTGGAGTGGAGCATTTTTGCTGTCTCCAGACTGGCCAAATAGATTGGTCCTTAGCACTCTTTCGCTACTCCCCTCTCTCCTAGGGCATGGAGGCGTGTTCCCTCTCACACCGTTCCCTCCGTTGACCGAACGATTGGCAGGATGGAAATACTCCAATAAGGGCTTTAGGAGGACAGGAGAAATTGGCCGTGAAGGATAGTTTTGCATGAACAGAGGATACGTATTGCTCTCTAAGCTAGCCAATAGGGAAAAATAATTCCATACGCAGACATCACATCATAGATGAGCAGAACTCAAGCCCTGGAAGATAAACATAGTCAAGTGATCCACGGAGCTACTAGGCAGCCTTATGGCTTATAT